CACAGAGGCAATTTGAATTTTCTAATAGCAATAGCCACATTAAATAAGCAAAAAATAGGCGAAATTAAGATATTTTATCTACTATATCCAAAATATTGTTTCAGCGTATTATCAATATAAAAATTATGAATGAGCAAGTTTCCATGATTTTTTGGGTCTTCAGAATCCAGTGTGTATTTTACACTCACTTCAGACCAATCACAGTTCAAGCGCTTGGGACTATGGGATTGGGCAGCGCAGGGTTTCAGTGTCATAGCCCAGGTCCCTTAGCCTGGGACTTCAGGGCTCTGAGTCCCAGCTCACGATTCCAGACCTAATTCCCTGCCCCTGCTCAGGTGCTGTGCGCATCCCCAGATCTGCCCTGGCTGTTCTGTCCTGAGCCCTGGTTTGGCTGCCTCCCCGCCCCCCAGCACATAAGTCCTTTCTGCCCCTGCCTCTCTCTCAACCTCCCTGCCCCAATTCTACCCAAGAGCTCCTCACAGGGACAAGGGTTTTGCCAAGGGGATTTTTTCAACATACTCAGCCAGATCAAGGCCCCATTGATAGTGGAGTTGAGCCCAACAGGGAAATCCCATTAGTTAACATTGAACTCTAAGATTCTTTACTTTTTTACTAGACGTTTTCTGGGAAAAAAATATACCCTTATGGTGCAGAAACTGGGCTGCATTCTTTATAGTTATTGAATAAAATGTTCCAGGTATTTGTTTCTTAATTTGAAAGACAGGAGTAAAATGCTTTCTGTTCTCTTCCTTTTTGTTAAACCCAAACCAGCTAATAACCCAGAGCAGTTTAAATTCAATGATGCTCTCCTAACTACCCCATGAGTGTGCCTCCCACCCTGGCCTTGGGGTCTGAGGTTGGCTGGTGCCCTGTTACTGAGAGCCTGTGTGAGTGGCCCTGGCCCTGGTGGACGTTTGTTGGTGGCCCAGAAGACTGCAGCCCCCCTTTGGGGTCCAACGGGCCTGCGTGGGCATTTCCTCTTGCCCCATCTGTTCCATCGGCACTAGCCCCCTTCTGTTTCTCTAGGATGTCTAGGGCTTGGTGTGCTCCTGCCTCAGCTCTCTTGGTGGTTGTTTCCTCTTCGAGGACGCTCTCCCCACATCCTCTCGGCCTGCTGTCTGCCGCACCGCCAGAGAAAGAGGCTTTTATAGGCCCTTGTATTTGAGATTGAAATCACCACGTTCCCCTCCCTCGCAGCACTTGATCTTCTCTCTCTGGTTTGTTTTTTCTCCACAGGACTCATTACCATCAGACCTTTTAAATTTCACTATCTTCTCATCCCACTTGAATGTAAATTCCATACCTGAAGGGATGTGTGTTTTAATCAGTGCTATGTCAGTGCCTGGCATGTGGTATGCATTCAATAAAGAATGAGTGACTACATGAATGAGTGGGGAGTGGGTGAGTGAATGGGAGTTAGGCAAGTGTCTTGACCTCTCGGAGCCTCTGTTTCCTAGTAGGTGATATGGCAGTAATACCTACCTTCCTATGGGGAATCAAGCGCTCTTACATTGCTGATGGGAATATAAATTATCTCCTCCATGGGAGGTAATATGGCAATATCTATAAAAGTTATAAATGTATATACCTTTTGACCAAGCTATTCCACTAGGAATCTATCCTGCGAGATGTATTCATTCATGTGAAAGCCACCATATGTACAGGGTTATTCATTGCTACAGAAATGTCTATCGATGGGGCAGTTTTAGGAAAAACTACAGTATATCCATATAATTGAATATTCTGCAGCTTTAGAAAAGAATGAGGAAGCTGTCTTTGTACCAATAAAGACAGATGTATAAGATGTGTTACCGAATGAGAGAACAGAGGTGCAAACAGTGCCTGGTGTGCTCTTTGGTATGAAGACAGGAGGGTGGATCAATTTGTACCCGTATTTGCCTTGTCCACGAAGACACTCTGGGGAGATAAACAGGAGGCTAATAAGAGGGGTCTGGGGCTCTCAGGGGATCTGGGATGGAGGAAAGGGGTATGAGTAAGGCTTTCGACTTTTATATGAAGTATGAATGTATTACCGATTCAAAAAAATAAAAGCTTACCTTGCGGGGTTATTTTGAGGATTAAAGAGCATGTGTGCAGAGCCTCTTGCCCAGTGTCTGGCACGCAAAGGAGATCCTCAGATTGGAAGTTAGTACTGCTGTCCTGATGTACCTGCCACACACCCAGTTGTGGCTGAGACCTGGGTACCCCCAGATGAAGCATACATGTTCCCTACGCTTGAGCACACGACCTGGTAGAGAAAACCGATGGTATAGAACAAGTGAGAAACCCTTTCCACATTAGAGTTGGATCCGTGGTCCTTTTATTTTTGTGGTTTGCAGTTACTTAAACTGGTGTGCCCAGTTCACAGTGCTGGAGTGTGACTGTGGTGTCTACTTAGGTGCCCCAGAGTGGGCACAGAAGATGGCTCGAGTTTTTGTCTATAAGTTACATCCACGTGTCTGCCTACAGTAGTCTCAGTGCACTTTTTAAATCTGAAATAGTCTTTAAACATGTTTTGTCATCCCAGTAACATTTATTTTAGTAACGGTGCTATAATTATTTATCTTCATACCTCACAGTTGCAGAACAATACTATTTTTACTTGACAGTATTAAAAATTAGAGTTCTAATGGATTTATTTTTGTTGTATCTGTTTAAGCCAAAAATAAGATTTCTCCTAACCATAGTGCTAGAAGTTTTTATGTCTGTCCTTAAAGTTTTCCACACATGACGGAGTAACAGTGAAGTGATCTTGGAAGAACCAAGATTTGATTTGGTTGTGGTGAAATGTGAGGTGCAGGAGTTGAGAGCCAGAATGCTGGGATGAGGACAGTAGCCTGGCTCCTGGCCTGAGTTAGCTTTTGTAGCTGCCTGACAAGGCCACCAGTGGGGAGTGAGCCGGGGCGACCCTTAGACATTGGGTCAGCACGCCAGTCACATAGGTAGAATCAGGAGTGTGGGAATAGCCTGGGCCCAGTGGGTACAGCAAGGTCTGATGGGTGGGGGTAGGCCCCCCGAAAACAAAAGCCCTATCTGGCCTTGCAAGCTACCTCTGTAACCTCTTGTGGAAGAAATGGTGACGGTCTGATGGAAACCCTGCCCAAGTAGCACTGGGCTGTTACGTTGTTGGCGTTAGCAGAGGTCAGGTGCCTTTCAGAGGTAGGTCACCAGGTAGGAAGGGAAAGAGGCAGGGGAAGAAAATGTTAGCTGTGTCCCCAAGGCCAGCGTGCTGCGTGTCTATTAGTTTAAGAGGGCCAGCTGTGCCATCCTGTGGCTGTGAAACTGTGGAGCAACGAGCAGTGACACCTGCTGCTGAGTAACCTTTGCCCAACCCACAGTCCCCAAGCTCCCAGGCCCTGCATGCTGTGCAGGGTCAGGTCCCCACTCCTCCACGGCTGGAGTCATTCATTGGCCACCTACCTTCTGGGGTCTTACTTTTCTGCAACAGCTTGCATGGTTCATTAATCTCTTCTTTGAAAAACTGAGTTTTTTCATTTTCTGTGATTCTCTGTAAAGATGCAGTGCACACAGCAGAGATACAGCAGCGCAAAGCGCACTAGGCAGAAGGCAGCCTGTTTCTCGGCGAGGTTCGCATCAGTGTGCCCCAGTGCCCCTCTGAGGCTCGCATCAGGGAATCTTAACCAGTTAGGTGAGATGGTAGCGTCTGACTCCCCCAGAGTCTGCCGGGCTCCTGAGGCCCCCGGTTACTGGGGGCTGGCAGTAGGGGTGTTGGGCAGTAGGAATTGCTAAGAAGAACTTGAGAGTCTTGGGAACTTCTGGATGGTTTCTGGTGATGTGATTTTGGGAGCAGACAGCCTGGAGAGGGGCGCCCTTGTGGAAGCCGCTGTGCCCATGAGCCCCATGGCAAGGTCTGCGAGCAGGGAAGCGTGCTTGCTGTGCCTTTGGGTGGTTTTATCTTGGCCTTTTGTTCTTTTGGTTTTAAAGGCAAGACTCCTGATCAGTGCCTGTTATAGAAACAGTTGGTCAGTGGACCAAAAATTAGCATGAGGTAGAGTGGCAGTGATTAGGCACATACCCCTGAATCAATTATCTGTTTCTTTTAAACACCACCTTGTTCCAAAGAAGATTTGGAAGCATTGTTTATGAAGATGCACACAGGACAGCGAATCTGAGTGAGGAGGTTTCAGTGAATCCAGGGCTGAGGTAGAGCCTGGGAAGTGTGTGGTGAAGTCCCGTGTGCTGTGGGCAGTGGCTGCACCTTGACTCCCCACCTTGGAGCAGCCAAAGCAGAGGAGTAGGTGTAGCCGGCACGAGACTTACAGTGACGATAAAATGCAGCGAAGCCGGGAGGCATAGCTCTCCTGGCTGTGAGGACTGCAAGATTTTCCTGGGGTCCTCACAGAGAGGATGCTGTGTGTAGGGACAGCGAATCACAGATTCAGACACTCCTAGTTTGAGAAATGAGAGGTGCTCGAGGGCTGCCTCTCTCACTGGTGTGTCCCAGTGCCGGGCACAGTGTCAGGCACATAGTGGGCTCTCAACAGTGTTTATTGAATGACTGACTCGCTCAGTGAAAGCCAGTGGCCTGACATCAAAGTGCAGTTCTAGGAAGTAATTCTACATGGGGCCAAAATGCTGGCTTGGCTAACCATGGGATAGGACATGGAGTGCCCGGCTGGACTCTTCCCTTCTCACTGAGAAGCAGACAAGTTTTCTTGCTGGAAAAGTAGACTTTTAAAACTTCTCCATTGTGATAACTTGTTCTCCTTTGTCTTCACAGAGACTAATAGACAAGTCACGAGTAACCTGTGTCAAATGGGTCCCCGGTTCGGAAAGCCTTTTTCTAGTAGCCCATTCGAGTGGGAACATGTACTTGTATAATGTGGAGCACACTTGTGGCACCACAGCCCCCCACTACCAGCTTCTGAAGCAGGGAGAGAGCTTTGCCGTGCACACTTGCAAGAGCAAATCCACGAGGAACCCTCTCCTTAAGTGGACGGTGGGCGAGGGGGCCCTCAACGAGTTTGCTTTCTCCCCAGATGGCAAGTTCTTGGCGTGCGTGAGCCAGGACGGGTTTCTGCGGGTGTTCAACTTTGACTCGGTGGAGCTGCATGGCACGATGAAAAGCTACTTTGGAGGCTTGCTGTGTGTGTGCTGGAGCCCGGACGGCAAGTACATTGTGACAGGTGGAGAGGACGACCTGGTGACAGTCTGGTCCTTTTTGGACTGCCGAGTGATAGCTAGAGGCCACGGGCACAAATCCTGGGTCAGTGTCGTGGCATTTGATCCCTATACCACTAGTGTAGAAGAAAGCGACCCTATGGAGTTTAGCGGCAGTGACGAGGACTTCCAAGACCTTCTTCATTTTGGTAGAGATCGAGCAAATAGTACACAGTCCAGGCTATCCAAACGGAACTCTACAGAGAGCCGCCCTGTCAGTGTTACGTATCGGTTTGGCTCGGTGGGCCAGGACACACAGCTCTGCTTATGGGACCTTACAGAAGACATCCTCTTCCCTCACCAACCCCTCTCAAGAGCAAGGACACACACAAATGTCATGAACGCCACGAGTCCTCCTGCGGGAAGCACTGGGAACAGTGTCACAACACCCAGCAACTCTGCGCCCCCTCCTCTGCCACGGTCCAACAGCCTCCCACATTCCGCCGTCTCAAATGCCGGCAGCAAAAGCAGCGTCGCAGATGGGGCCGTTGCTTCTGGGGTCAGCAAATTCGCAACACTCTCACTACATGACCGGAAGGACAGGCACCACGAGAAAGATCACAAGCGAAACCATAGCATGGGACACATTTCTAGCAAGAGCAGCGACAAACTGAACCTAGTTACTAAAACCAAAACAGACCCAGCTAAAACTTTGGGAACACCCCTGTGTCCTCGAATGGAAGACGTTCCCTTGTTAGAGCCGCTCATCTGTAAAAAGATAGCACATGAAAGACTGACTGTATTAATTTTTCTTGAAGACTGTATAGTCACTGCTTGTCAGGAGGGATTTATTTGCACATGGGGAAGGCCTGGTAAAGTGGTAAGTTTTAATCCTTAATGCTGCACCAGATCTAGAACTTGAATAGGTAGTGATTTTTTTTCTTGCGGGTGGGGCGGGGTGTACAATGAATGTGAATGACACTTCTTATTCTTAATGTAAATTGAAATGCATCAGAGCCATAATTTTGGATACTGCATGCCATGTAATTCTGAATCATTTGATAATTCACCTTAGAATATTTAAAAAAAATATAATCAAACTAATTGCCAGCCAAGTCAGTCACCCTCCTGGGAGTATATAGAGTCCCAAGGTTAGTGTTCCTGTATTAGACTATTTCGATTTTAGGAAAATCATGACAGTGGGGAAACAATGACTTTAAAATGCTAAAATTAAAATTTCTGCTTTAACTGGAATATTTTTGCTTAACTACTCAATTAGAATATTGTACACCTGATCAGAGTGTGTGTTCAGTATGGATGGCCATTAATTGTCATTTATAGTCCAATTTTTTATCTTAATCATAAAATGTTTAGGAATCTATGAAATTTAACTTTAGGAACAAAGCGTTCAGCAGGGTTGATTGGTATTATTTTTACATTGTTCTGGCAATCCACAGAAAAAGAAGAGCCTTAATTTTTAAAACCCATTTTAGTCATTTTATGACAATTAAAATTGTTTAATAAACATCTTTTTTCAAAGAAGCAGTTTGTAGCACTTTGATTGAGATTCTGTGCACTAAATGAAATATCCCCGTTACTTAGAGCCTGGACAGTTAATTATGAACTGCAGGCTGAGGACGCCAACAGCAGTTGTCAGAAGTGCCTCTTGCCACATAAGCCAAGATCTTTTGTGTCGGATGTGCTTTGCTTATGTTTTTTTCCAACGAGGGAAAGAAGGTTTTGTTTTCTTTTTTTGTTTTTTGTTTCTTGGGGTTTTTTTTGTCAAAAACGCACATGACTGTAGGCCCTGGGTAGACTCCTCCGCTTTGTTTTATAAAGACTGATGGGCTCCCCAGGGTTCAGAGCACCTCCTGACCTTCACTTGTTTGGGTTTTCATTTCCTGCCTAGAGGGGAAGCACAAGTGCAGGTGGCCCCCTTTCTTACCATTGGATGGCAGTCGTGATTCCAGGATCATTCTTGGGACACTGGTGCTGGCGTAGCCCTCGGGCTCTGTCCTCAGTGGCTCCCTCTCAGAGCACCTCACCCTGGGGCCCTGGTGGCCTGTGGCTGCTCAGGAGCCGCACTGTAGGGACTCCCTCTGTGTGGGGAGACCCGGCTGCTGCCGCGGGAAACTGTAGTGTTTGATTCTAATTCGTCATGATCCTTATCAGCTGTGGGAGAAGTTTCACATTCCAGTTTTCACAATGGATGAGACGGTTCTTTGAGCTATATATTTTATGTCAAGATGATGATTATCTTATTTGTTAACTTATTTTGGTCGTTTAGATTTGTTTTTCTGTTTTGCACACCTTTGTAATTAAATATAGAGATATTGATAATTTATCCTGGTTTGAGTAGTGAATGCAATTCAGCAAAGTGAAGACCTGGAGACTTTCATTTCTCTGCAGCGTGAGACTGGTTGATGGAGCAGCAGCTCTGGGTGCTCTTAATGCAGCCCTGCCAGGAAGGCCAGGCTGCTGTGCCAGGCCTCCTTCCCGCTTCTGCACGTGTCACGGCTGGATCCATTCACTCTGTGCCCACCGTGCTCCTTAATGCGAGTGGTTTCTGTTAGCTGTGATAGCAGTGGCAGTGTTCTGCCGTGTGAGAACCACGGTGGCCTTCCAGGTGCATCTTCCCCGTTTATGCATCGAGGTCCATGGGAGTGTTAATGTCCTGTTTACCTTTAAGATACGGTCCTTTCTTCCTAAATGTTAACTGATCTGAGGTAGCCAAGACAGCCATCCTTGTGGACTGTTTCAATGTTGGAGGCTAAATTGGGCTGTCAGATGGAGAGTTTAGTAACCAACACTCCATGTGTGTTTTTATGTACCTACATAGTTTTAGAAATTCAGTTTCAAATGCTTCTGAGGCATTGAGTATGCAGTTTCAAAATTCAGGACTTTGTACTTGGCCTAGGTCAAGAGTGGCTAATTCCAGGTAAGTAGCGTTTTTGGGGAAGCTTACCTGACCTTTCAGTCCTGAGTGTATTGCTCATTGCATTACTGGCAGGAAAGCCATGGACGCGCTCCCGTGGGGCCGACATTTGGTTGACTGGGCGCTTCCTGGTTCCTTCCACCCTTTAGCATCCTCAGCTGCACCAGCTGTGATAAAGGAGGGAGTGGTCAGGTGCACTGACAGGGTGACTTACCTAGGAGGCAGTCTGTTGGTGGAAAGGGGGGTGTGTGGGGGAGGCAAGATGAGGATATTGTTTCCTTAAAAAACAAGTTCTGAAATTGCTGATAGAAGCCTGTGGTCTCTCTCTCCTCTACCATCCCTACCCCTGCCCCCACCTCCAGTTTTAAAAACCATGGTCGTGTCACAGATTGGGATTTGGGGCTGGTCACAAATCTTGTTCTTCCAGGTTCTGCTGGTGAGTGTATCCTTAATGTCTGTCTGGTACCCGATCTGGGGCCCCCTTGCTGCGTGTCAGGTGCTGGGGAGGGGCTGCACGGCCCAGGCTGCTCCCCGTCCGCTCTGCCCTCTGACGCCTGCCCCCTTTCTTTGACAGCCAGCAGAGCACTTCTCCTGCAGTCAGGAGGACAGAATGCAAGGTGTTCTCCAAGACCAGGACTAAAGTTGCTGGCAGCTTGAGAAGAGGGCACTGGAGAGGGGTGGATGGGCGGGCTCCTCCCCTCCTCCCTCGGATTTGCTTCTGACTAATGGCTCCTGCAGACCTGGGATGGGGAGGAGGTGGGGAGCCTCAGGGGGGTCCTGATCTCAGGTATATAAGGCACAGTGCCACGATGCTCCCACAGTGGCCACTAAGGGAAATCTGGGGAGCGTTTTTGTAGTTTTCTCACCAAACTTTGAGCTTCCTCATTGAAATTTTTCAAAGTTATTCAGCTTAAACATTATCCTGAGCAAGAATATCTTTTCTAACCTAACTTCTGGAATAAAACAGCTGTTGGCAAGAGGAGGCTGTTACTACTCGGTCAGCAGGACTTTTGCGTCGTGCGTGGAAGTGCATTGATGAAAAGCGCAGACAGAAGTCAGGTGCACACAGAGCAGCACTCGAGTTCCTCTCCCTCCCAGCGAGAGGCGCCGCGGCCTGCAGCCTGCATGCCGTGACAGATGCCCTCAGAGGGCACGAGCCAGGCAGTGGTGGTCCTCTCTGCTTACCCTGCTTTGGTTCGCCTCTTGTAAACCTTCCGGGAATTCCAGAAGCCAGGGTATTGCTGTGACTTTGGTGAGGCAGGCTTCTAAGCCCACTGGCCACCCAGCCCCAGCCCTGCTCTGAGATCCTCCTCTTATTCAGGGACAGGGGAATGGAAAATACCCGGAGAGGGCTGGAGGAGAAGCCTTTGGAAAACCTTTCCTTCTTTTAAAAGCAAATTTGTAAGAGAGAGTAGGCAGACTCTTTAAAAATAACCAGTAACTTTGGGTTCTAAATTTACTTAAATAAATACTGGTAAAGAATCTTAATTTTGTCTTTTGTGCTGATTGAACCTTCCAGCGTTTTTGAAGTATCCTGTGAGCAATTGGCTTGGGACTAAGGATAAATGCCTTATGGTAGAAAAATGGAGGAGTGGAGGAAAAACAGAAATAAGCTATAACAGTTATTGTCTCAGACATTCAGAAACTATGAAGAACAAAATGTGGTGAAACTTAACCAGTTTTTGTGGGCGTGTACACGTGTCCCAGGTGGGACTCAATATGCTGCTCCACTGTTTGGCTTAACACCCAAGTCCTAGTGGCAGATAGCCAGGCAGCCACTTCTCCTCGATTCCTCCACTTCCTGTGCTGCATCTTGACTGTTTAAGATATTGCCAAGGATTGAATTTGTGGTGAAGTTGGTGAAGCTGTTTTATCTGATATCTGCACCTGTGTACAAGGTTCTCATCACCTCTTGCCTGGGAGGGAGATGTTTGATTTCTTTGTTGAGGAAGCTCAAAGTATGAGGGGGAAAAGCCAAAGGGTTGCGGGGCTGGAGAAGGAATCCTCTGGAAAACCCAAATGCCACGTTTTCTGTATCTGACTGTCCGAGGAAGAACTAGAAGCAGAGTTCAACTGTGGATTTTCCAGGGAACATGCACAGAGCGCAGCACCCCGTCTCATGCATGAGGGCTTGTCCCAGGGTGACCAGTTGATGGCCCCTTACACCGCCCCACGCATAGGTGCATGCGGCGAAGCAGTTGGCCTCTGTCTGTTGTTCTGGGTGTGTCCTCTGTTGGGGTGTCCTTCCTCAGCAGGGAACCTCTGCATGCATGTGTAGGCCTGAAATGTAACCTGGAGACGCTCCCGTCCTGGGAACACAGCAGGGAACAGTGGGCAAGTCCCTCTCCTTGTCCAGAGCGTGCCCGTCACACGGGGCTGCTCGGGACCATCCTCTGTTCAGGTCTTCAAGGGGCTCAGCTCCACGACCCCAGTGATGGCCAATGAGAGCAGAGAGCAGTCTGGGGAAAGTGAAGTCCAGGGCTCGAAATTGAAAAGCATGTGTCTTTAGCTGTTCCCTTTGAAACCCAGACCCCAAGTTCAAACCTGTTGAAAATACCCCTCCAGGAGAGGGAAACTGTCCCATTGGTATTGACTTTTTATTCATTGCTGCACCTGTTACATGAACTTTGTGTCATGGTTAAATTGCTGTCTCAGTTTAAAAGTATAAAAAAAATTTCTGCATTTTTTATTTCTGTATACCTAAGTTTATTAAAGATTGCTATGTTAGGTGACACTGTATAAAATTGTATGAATATTTACCTTTAGTGAAAATCAAAAGTAAAATTCATATGTATTTCCTTTTTTACATTTTCATCTAATTTCTTGACAACTTGAATAAATTTCAGAAGAGCCTTCCTAACATGAAATGTTGGTAAATTGAGTTCTTAACTGTTGCAATAATTATTGAAGCTTTAATATCAGTATTGTTACTTTATCATGTTAAGGAAGTCATATTTCTGTTTTACTGCTGTGATTTTTAGTTGTTCCCTCCTCACTGTCACAGCCAGAGACTGACTACACACTTGATATTCTGAAGCACTTTGAGGTTGTCCTCTGTATACTGACATTAAATAAACGTGTAAATGAACTGTAAATGTAGATAATTTTCAATAGCCATTTTCACATCTAAGCTTTAAAAAATCTCAATGAACCAAAAAAGAAAAGCTTTTAAATGCTGTAAAATTAAGGGCCTCGTTAATGTTTATAGAACAAACAGCCACAGGAATTGCTACCTCTTATTACTGATTCTGAGTTTTTCATAATTAGAAACTTACTAAGTGAAATGTTTGTTCTGAGTATTAAAGGTATTGTTTTATGTGACCCTCATCCAATTTGGGGAAGGACTGTTGATTGACTTTTCAGCCGAGCTGTGCGAAGGTTCCGTTTACTGAGAATGCTGACATTCTGAAGTGGTCCTGGGCTGCACGCTGCCTTTGGTGAGCACAGACTCAGTATCCTGGATGCTGGGCGTCCAGCATTCTGTTCAGCCACCCGCCAGCAGCTGGGCGAGTGGAGAAGAAGCTGGGAGGCTTCTATAGGAGCTCTTTTCCTGGGGAGAGTTGGTTTTTCTACTCAGTCTTACACAGTTTGCTTCAGGCTTTGCAGTTGCTGTTGAGGTTGTCCTGCCTTAGATGCCAGGCCCTCAGGCTCCGGGGCAGAGAGGGCCGTGGGAGACAGTCCATTTAGAGTGGAAAGAATTAGTGATTTGTACTGTCCTGCACCTCTGCCCCTGAATGCTTTAAGGCAAGGATTGCAGGCCTAGACCTGAAAGTCCCCGCCAGAGGTTTTGAGGTAAAGGTAAGCTGGCCCACGACAGAGCCCCTTGTCAGGCTCTGGTGCTCCCACTTAACTGTCACATCCCTGCTGTTTCGTGAGACGTCTGGCCCTGTAGCTTGGGGCTGGCAAGACCTCTGGAAGCTCCCTCCTGGCTGCCTCTCCTCATGGTTGACGGCCTGCTGCTCAGCGATCTCTAGAGGGTGGTCTCTAGAATCTTCTTGACCATGCTGTCCTCCTGAGCCTCCAGTGCTGAAGTGTGTGTGATCTCGCCTTTGACTCTGAGCTGCCAAAGCAGAAGAGATGGTCAGATGTTCCGCCCTCAGAGTGACCTCCTCCGACCTACTGCCACAGGAGCAGTACATGCTTTTTCCTTAGTGTTGAGTTGATTTTAAGCCCTAAACACTACCAGGTTGACAGCAAGTTTAAAAAACACACACACAACATTTTCATCTTTTAAAAATAACTAGCCCAGGGGCCAGCCCCATAGCTTAGCAGTTAAGTGTGCGCGCTCCGCTACTGGCGGCCCCGGTTCGGACCCCGGGCGCGCACCAATGCACCGCTTCTCCAGCCATGCTGAGGCCGCGTCCCACGTACAGCAACTAGAAGGATGTGCAACTGTGACATACAACTAT